CCCCCCCGACTTAATAAAGATTTAATGATTAATTTTAAATGACTGAAACATCTATTTTCTTAGTACTTTTTTTTTTTAAATCACTCTCTAAATGAAAAGGTGGGGGGTTTTTTGTTTTGGTTTGGTGTTTTTTTTTTTTTAGTTCATTCAAGTGGAGAAAAGAGTGAAAACTCAAAGCCAGTAGATTTTTCTTGCGTTCCCTCTCTTCTTCACCTCTCATCCGTTTTGGTGGGTGTGTTCATTTTCATTTTAAAACATGAGAGACATCTTATGCTGATGTCTTGGAATTTGCTGTGGGAGAAGTGTAGAATTTGAATTGGCATTATTTTGCCCTTTTTTTTTGTGTATGAACTCTAAATTTGCAATGACTTGTTCTGTGTGTACATGAAAGACCTCATAATGCCATTCAGGAAGTGAACTGTCATATATTTCTATACATCACCCTTTCATGTGTTGGGATATTTCACAGTCTTTATTGAATTTATATATTATGTAGGTATACATTGCAAAGCACTTCAAAGGCCTTTCTGGCTGAACACTTCTGTTTGTGTCATTTCTGTGTGATTTTTAGACTTGGTGGCTTCTGCAGTAATGATTACGCTTTGATTTTAAACAAAATCTTGCTGATAGTTGTTTTACAGACAGGTGAGAGTGCCAGTGAGTGCTTTTGCCTCCGATGTCCGCCAGTTACTAGTGCTAGTGGAGTGGCAACTGGATGTTATATCATTTCCTGGAAGAGGTAAGTATCTCTTGGCCTGGATGGGGAGAGGAAATAAGTTGGTTTATTTTTAGGGATGATGGTGAGTTGGTGGGGTTTTTTTGCTTGTTCAGGGGTTTTTTTGCTTTTTTTGGTTTTGGATCTTCACTGTCTAGGTATTTTGGACCTTACTAATTACTGCTTAGCTTGTTAGACTTCTGAATAAATACATATTTCACTTAAGAGATAAATATTATGTGGTTATGGTTTTAACATTCCATGAAGCTTTCTTCTTTGTAAGATCTTAGGTCAATTACAAAGCTGTTTTGTCACCTTCCACTCCGTTTTCTCCAGTCATTAAATACTTCACTTGAGAAGCCAAGCCAAAGGAATGGTTTTGTGACAGTAGAAACAAACTAACTTTTTAAATGGGAAAACTAACTGTTTTCCCACCCTAGATTGTGCGTTTATATATTCACTCAGTTTTCCAAGACAAATGTTGAGGTATATCTTTCTTCTAGTTTGCTTTTATATAGTTTTAGAGCTGTTTAGTGTTCTTACTTGCCTCTTGCTATTTTATCTCCATGCTATGGCACTTTTTTTGCTCACTTCAAACAATCTAATATAAAGAATTGGGTTTTTTCTTTCCACCACTGAAATTACTGTAATTTTAGGTTAGTCACATATAAGTTGTTTTGGTGTACTCGCTTGATACTTTGTTGTATGACTTTCAACATGGTCTGCGTTTGATGTTTTCCTGCAGAAGTTCACCTGTTGAAAGTGTACCTGTTGTTAATACAGTCGTCACTCTACCGCATGTGATTGTAGAGAGCATTCCCCTCCATGTTAATGCAGGTAATAATAATTTGGCAACATATATGTCCCAATTAGAATTTTTAGGGAGGCCAAAGTTTTTATAGCATCCAGAGCTTGCATTTACTGTCGCAAAAGACAGAAAACTGGTGCTGGTTATTACGGAGCAGTGAAAGAAACTGTATCATCGCTTAGACTGCCTCAAGCCTTGCCCCTCTTTCCCCTCTTCAATTCAAGGGAAGAGCTGGAAGGTAGTTACGCAAATGCGTTCTCTTAAAAGCTGTCAATGGATTGACCTGTGTTACGTGGCAGCACAGAGGCCAGAGTTACCTCTGCTGATGCTACCTTCCCAGTAGGTTTCTCTAGACGCTTATGGCAAGCATTGTTCCATCCACCCACGCCCTGGCTGCATCCCAGGAAAGAAACAGCCTGGAGAATTGGAGCTGCTTGCAGGCAGGTGAACTGTTTCTGTTCTACCACTTCACCTGCACAAGAGCAGAGGGGGAGTGGAGACCTCACTGAACACACAGAATTCCTATGCTTTCCTCAGTTCAGTTTCATTTGTACTGAGATTCTTCCATTATCCTTTCCTGTTATATTTTGAAGGAGCTTCCTGACAGTATTTGATAAGGTTTTGGTAAGCTGAAAATACCCAGCAGCAACCAAAATGACTTCCTGGCTAGCATCCCTGGACAGTGTCAGCAGCTTGGGGTTTTGTAACTAGATGTTGAAGTGTTATTGAAAAGCTGTGATGAAATTGTGTTCTGTTCTTTAACCTTTTTCCTGAAAAATCTTGTCAGAAATGCTTTGGATACCTAGTTATTGTATCTTTTTTTTTCTTCAAATTTTTCACTGCTCTTTGCGACAGTCTTTTTATGTATGGAACTTTAAAACGTATTTTGTATTTGCGATTACTTACTTTCTTTCCAAAGATCTGCCATCATTTGGTCGAGTCCGAGAATCCCTACCTGTCAGGTATCACCTGCAAAATAAGACCAACTTAGTCCAGGATGTGGAGGTGTCAGTGGAACCCAGTGATGCCTTCATGTTCTCTGGCCTTAAACAGGTACAAAATTGTCACATCTATTGATCCTGCTGGCTTGTCTGGTAGTGAAGGATACATTGATTAGACTTACACTGATGTGCAGAGAGGACAAAGTCATTGTTTTTTAGATGTTGAAAGTATGGTAAATTCTGTCTGGAAGAATGCATGGATGCAGACTCCATTTAAAGAAGGGCGAAATGGAAGCCTGAGTAGGAGCCGTTTGCCATGTTGTTTATGGGTGACATGGTGCTTCAGGATAGAAGTAATAGTTTAACTAGAATAGGAAAGTAGTTACATTCTTTCCAGCTTAAGAAAGTAAACAGTGTATAAATAGAAAGTAAACAGAGGACTGCTTTGGTCACAATGTTTGTGTCTTTTTTTCTTTTCTTTTTTAAGATCCGATTAAGAATCCTTCCTGGCACACAGCAGGAAATGTTATATAACTTCTATCCTCTGATGGCTGGATATCAGCAGTTACCATGTCTTCATGTTAACTTGCTGCGATTCCCAAACTTCACTAATCAGTTACTCAGACGATTCATACCAACGCACATTTTTGTAAAGGTAAGACTGTGAGAACTGCCTTGTGTTTAAAGGCTCCCTGTGGGGCTGTTCAGTTTTTGGGGACTACAACCCCAGCTCTATTCAAAGCTGAGTGTTTCTAAGCAGACTAAAATGGCCAGCTTGTAACAGAATTACTTGCTTTGAAACGTCTTGGGTTATGCATTGGTGTTGCCAACCAAAATCCTTAGGAAATCTGTTTAAGTGCAACAAGTATTTGGTTACAGTTAGATGAACTAGCTGAATGTGCTTAGCCTGTCCCTGTTATTCCATGTCTTACTCTGTAAAATGAGTCTTAAAGTTGTCTGTATTTTGAGTACAATGGAGTAAGCTAAATGTAATGAAATACTTTAATACCATAATTTGTAGCACTCCTGAAAAAAGTAAGTGTTCGAGCAACCCATATGACTAGGTTCAGAAACACTGTAGCATCCCACACCTCCCTAAATAACTTCTAAAAACACATCTTCTCAGTGAATCCTTCAGTCTAGAATTTTTTGTCTTAAGTGGTACGACTGAAGACAATTCAATCATGTAATGAAAAGTAGATCACAGGTTTCTTTTGACTTTTTAAGAATCATTTAAATCCAGTTGCCCAAAACAATGCTTTCTCGTTCCACTGCTGCTGTCTTCAGAATATTGTGTTCGCTTTTTAGTCAGACTCTTAGCAAGCAAGGAGCCTGAAGAGTTTGTATATATGACTTGAGATGGACTTGTTCAGACATCTGTAATCCTGTTTCCAGGAAACAGGCTTGGCGTTCTTTCAATTTTGTTTTAGCCAAAAGAGATAGGCAGAAATTACTTTTTACGTATGCTGTCAATCAGTGGCTCTTCTAGATTGGTTGTCAAGATGTCCTTCTAAGTCAGTACAAAAGGCTTTTTTCCTCAAAAGCGTGGTGTTCTCAACGCTCCTGTGGAATCTCTCAGGCTTCAGAATTCTTTGCTTTTGCTTTGGAGTTGTCAGGACCTCAAAAAACCTTGAAAGGATGCCTTTTCTTCCTTAAAACTTCTTCCTTGCTCTCTCCCATCTCTACTGCTTCTACTTAAAATTCCTCCATGAAACTGTCAATCTCATTCCTGTTTTATGCATTGGTAACTATCAGGTTTTTATACTGCAGTAATATTCAGAACTCTGATCAGCCAGGCCTCGTCCTGAGCTGTCCAAATGTGTACGGAGGTGCTCTTGCCATTGAACAGGGCAGTTAAGGAGCTGAGGCCTCTACCGAGTACTCACTGGGCAAAACTGAAATTTCAGTTGGATGTCCTCCATGTTTGTGCTACTACTGCTAACCATTAGAAGTAAGGATAGGCTTAATGCCACACGTGTGTACTTGGGCTACATCGATCAACACAATGTATTGCAAAGTGAGTTTCATAACAGCCTTAGTATTTTGCCTTTTTTTTAATTCTCTATTTTCTTAAAGCCTCAGGGTCGACAAGCAGATGATAACTCGATTGCAGCTGTATAACTGCGAGACCTGTACCTCTGCCCTCAAAGAAAATGGGATGTTGCACACAATATATAAATCTCACTTTGGAAACATGGCTTTGATCAAACCAGAAGAATTAAATTTTATTTTTAAATTACAACGCTTAGCAGAACTAATGTTTTAAAAAAACCTAGTCTTTCGTAGACTTTCTTTAAGGAATAAACATGTGGGGGAAACCTGGTGCTTTATTTAACAGGAACATTCTTTTGAAGTTAACTTTGAATGTAAAACTCTTAAAAAGTATTATTAAGGCATATTAAATGTCTCAAGTATTTAAGTGAAGAAATGCTAATTCATTTGACCAAAACTGAAAGGCATTTGCATAATTAACAGTAAGTTGAAGTGCAAAGTTTGTACTTACTGAGATTTACAACATTGAAAATGATCATACTTTACAGAAGGTTGTTCTGTGCCACTTGTGTTGAGGGCAGAACTGGGTGTGCAGTAGCGCAGCAAACTACAAATGGTTACATTGTACTGTTGGAATTGAGCGGCTTACTAGTTCTTTAAAACCGTAAATCTAAAAGGCACTATTTCTCCTGCGTAAGCCATATATCGAATTTGAATTCAGCAACAGCGAGTGTAATGAACAGAGATTCATTCATAACAGCTAGACTATCCAACTTGAAGCTGGTATGATTTTGGATTATTTTTACACACGCAGTTTCCAGATTAAAGATATGTCTTAGTAGTCTCCTGCTGTGTGAACTTAAAAAATGGACATTCTACTGTTGTACAGTTCCAGATGAACTTGTGTTTAAAATACAGTAAAACATGTATATAAAAAAATGCATTGTGAAAACTTCAGTTGTTTAACTTTCTAAATAATTACATTTTGATTGCTTGGGAAATACCTTATTTATTGTCAAAGTGAAGTTCTAATAAACAGCTTGTAACAGAGTACTTCTGAAACTGTGTCCTTAATTGCATTGTTTTCACAGCTGTTGTTTCATAACTCTGGTCTGTCTTGTGGACTGATACATTCATTTATGGCACTGAAGTCCAAAATAACAGCTGTAATACTTGGAGAAAAGCATTAGAGAAGCATGTAAACATTCCTTACCAGTGAAAGGACTATAGGCTAATTGGCAGTCCTGAAAAAATATCCGTGAGCATATACAGCTTTTCCATGGAGTGTAGATGTAGTTATACTAGGAGTTTTTTCAGTGTATAGATGAGGAAAAGAAGATGACTGACAAACCATGCTGGGAAGAACAAATGAAACCTTCCTTATTCTTTGCTTAAATATCATCAACTAAGTGGCAGTCATGGAATAAGTATCTTAGAGTTGAAAATGTATTTAATTTCCAGATTTTCTTTTTTTTCTTTTAAATAGCCACTCGGATTACAGCAACTCTGGCACCTCTGCTACTGCTTCTTAAAAGACATGTTGATGCAAGTGGTTTAAGTGTTCGGTGTAGAACTGGGGTGCCTTTTCTCCCCTCCCTGAAACAGTCTAACAGCAAAATAGTGATTTGCATTCCTTTGAGAAAGGGGAGGGCATAAAATGTTTTCGTGGTTACAATGATATTAAAGTCTTAAGTGAATTGTGTAAATAGGTTTCTACTTAAAATGGTGAGTGGTAAAAGTAGGAACTGTATAAAAATAATATAGAAATACAGAAATGCAAACTTATCTCATACCACAGAAAAAAAAAATTGCTTGCTACTTTGCCATAGTTGTAATTTCTGTTCTTTTTTTTCATTTGCAAAGAGAATCTTTTCTTGGTTTGTGTGATCTTGTTGTAGCTGTAAACACTACAAAGCGAAGATTTTTGTCTTAGTTGTCTAAAGTGCTAGGCACACCTTTTATGCTATGTAAATGACTGATGTGGATGAAAACATGCAGCAAGCAGGAACCACCTTGTTAAAAATGCTTGAGAAGTGATTAATGATGACTATCTTACTGACTCATAAGACTCTAATGCTGAGGGGAATGTTTGTGATTCATAACCCAAATCCCTTTGGAAGTCTTGAGGAGATAAAAAGGGCACATATATTTCAGAGTAAGTACAGGTTTTTTTATCGTTTACTGTATTTTGATGAGCACCATTCAAACTTCAATGTATACTACTTAAATGTAGTCTATTTTAATTGGAACTAATTAAGCATCAGAGAAAAGAGAAGCTACTTTTAGACTAGTTTAAAAATAGCTTTCAGGGAAAAAAGTTTGAGATCAACATGTTCAGACTGCTACTGAGCTAGAGACTTAGCCCTAGCAATATCGTTTCCTCCCCTTTTACGCTACGAAGTGCATGAGAGGGGAGGAATGTGTCCCATCACCTCAGATCTCCTGGCCTACAGTGAAATCCGGAGCAAAGAGAGGTACTCTATCCTTTCTTCATTGCTTCTGACCACTAAACTCTAGTTTTAAGTTCAGGAAAAGTGAGAGATTAGAAGAAAGATTTTAATTCCTGATCAATTTTTAGGGTATTGCACAATGTCTTCTCGGATCGTTAATTTACACAGGGGTTTTGGAGATTCTACCAGCTTCCTTTTTGCATGTGCTAATGAACAAGATTTTTCTCTTCAAACTTTATCTGCCTTCACCTGGGAGATTAGAAGTCTCTAGGTAAGAATACTTCTGCCAGACTCTCCTTCAGGTTTGAAGTTGCAGTGTGTAGAGTAGGAAGAAGAAAAAAATCCTCTCAAAAGCACCTTATTCTTTAAACCTGCTCTGCTGCTTCCTTTTCTGAAAACAATGAGCTGCTGCTCCTTCATGTCTTTCCAGTGAAGAAGTTAGGCTGAAGGAGAGCAACAGTGAACGTGGGTATCTTACCACAACCTACCTTCCCTGTCCTCCAGGGATGCTTTTGACAAAAGACTGATAGGACTAAGAGCAGTAATCTCTGCTCTATTCCAAGGACTAGGCATTTTACCTGGTTAACTGAAATGGAAGATGGAGACCTGTGCAGGACTTGTGCCTAAGTGTGTTCAGCTTTCTCAAATTCAGAGATTCAAAGATTGCTTTGCATCTCTCTGTTTTCAGGGTATCAGGTGTTCCCTGACAGACATTCGCTCAGTGGGGTACTGAGGCAGCTTCTACTGCCCGCGGTGGTTTGTCCCGTTGCCTCACCAGATTGGGTTGTAAAATAGTTCATAACACTTCTTACCTCACCAGGAACATGGCTGTTGAATAGCTGTAAAGTGCTGCTGAAAACGAGTTGTGTAGTCAATAAAAATTAGAATCTATCGCAATTCGCCATTGTGCTTCAAGAAGGACCAGAAAATAAGTTTATATAATGGTAAAAAAATTTTAGAGAATTGGTTCTTCAGAGCTCTCTGTGGGGATGGTTCTGGGTACTGTAGTTCGATAAAACCAGTTAAGGGGAAAAATAGTTTCAACAGCTTTGAGGTTTCTGCTAAAGTAAACCCTAGATTCTGCTTTTTTGTTTTTTTTTTTAGAGGAGGGATGAATAAACCTAGTGGAAGTATTAAGTGCCACCTGGGACCTGTTTAATCCTGCTTAATTTAAGGGCTAGTATGCTAGGCTACACCTCTGTGCGCTCTGCAACAAAAGCACAGAGATAACTTCAGATAATACAGATATGCACTGGTCCTGGGATATGCAAGCTGGTTAAAATTTATCCCAGCGGTTCTGCTCCGCTTCTCAGATATCGTCGATCTCTCTCCACCAACAAGGGTGCCATCCAACCAGAACATGACTGACTGCCCTTTCCCCTTGCTGGCAGAGGGGGCTCGGCAGGAGAGAGGTTCCCGCTTCCCAAGAAGGTTGCTGAAAGGTTCCCTTCAAACCCAGGCAGCACGCTTTCCTGCTTGCTCGCTTGCCTCTGCAGATAGGTACTTGCTTCCAGAGATCATTGTGACCTTCTGGTTGATCTCCCTTATGTTATTGTATTTCCTGATATGTGTTTTTTCTCCAAAAGTTCTGCAGGTTTCCTCTAGAATGAGCCCTGATTTTTGCAATTAGTCAGGGAACTAATTGGTCTGGTGCCTCTCCTGGACCCCAGAACTCTATGGCTGAACTGCCCTTTGCACGTTGGCTGTCGGGCATGCCGTAGCTTTCTGCTTGTTCAGGGAAAAGCACTCCTGGGAAAACCCTTACTTTGTTTCTACAGCAGATTGCATGGGGAGCTGCGGTGAGATTGTGCCTGTGGATTTCTGCGTTAAAAGCATGTTCCGAGAGAGCTCCATCAGCCTCTGGACTAGGAGGGAGTTCTGCCTGGCACTGCCCCGCGTGGGAACACGCATGTGCACTCTCCCGCTGTGGAACCTGGGCACGGTGCAGGACAGGAGAAGTTTCCAGTCTTAACGCAGCTCTGAGACTCGTCTTTGTTTACTCCGCGGAGACCGGTGGAGACAGCTCGGTGTCCCCTGCAGCGTGCTAGGCGCAGGGACAGCAGCTCACGGGGGAAAGGATGGTTACCTACCAATTAACCGCGGCTTCTTCACAGTGTGTTACTCGTGTGCGTGCTCACACTGGCATTTAAAAGATGGTGGTTCGTTCTTTCTCCTCTATTTCAAAGTCCTTCTGGGAGAAAGCAATTCTAACTCGCCTAGACAATTTGTCTAAAAGAGCTCTGCTCCCTTTTTACCCAGTTTCTGAACCACCTCTTCTCTCGCACCCCAAGGGGTGTGATCCAGAGCTTGGAAAGCCTCCCACCCTGGTGTATGCGTATTCGGTCGTATATCTTAAAGCCCCTCGGGTTAGAAGTAACCAACCTTCCTTGCCTTTTACTGCAGAAGGTTTCACGTTCTTTGCTTTGTTGTCTTATCGCCAGAGAAACTTTACAAAAGGCAAGACCATTTCATGTTTCGGGGTGTTACGTTAGGTAGACTTGAGCGTGATGAGATAAGTGAAAAAGAATAAACTAGATTAATTTTGTTTGTCCTTTGTCTTTGCAAGCCTTACAGAAACAGTTTTAATTTGGGGGGAGGTGAAGAGGGAATAGATGTTACAAATACTAATGGGAATGAATCAGACTTTAGGAAATCAAAACTCTACATTTCTCAATGTTGTCATTTTTCTTATTTCCAAAGAGATGCAAGCATTGGATAACTAAACCCAGACATTTATGTATTTAAATAGAATTTTTAAAAACCCCAAAGATTTATTCAAGACAGTATAAATTCCCTCATCTGAACAGAATGTAAATATTTTATTCTAGTTTTTTCAAGAAAATTATGTCAAATTTCCTTGCTAGATCTTTAGATAATTTGCTGGGAAACACGATATTGTGCAAAGGCAATCCAGTTTGCCTAGCCATGCTTATAGGATGTGTTGTATCAATGCAAAACTATGTTAACTATGCGTGCTAGTTACCGTAGTCTGAACTTGCCAGTGGGATGGGGAGATCTGGGAGTCAAAAATTTCTCCCTGGAAAGTAAATGAAAACATGT